TGCGTCCGAACCAGAGCTTAAAACACTAATTTTAGTTTCACGAGATGAGAGTAACAAATTTTCACGCATAGTTCATGCTTCAAGTGGCCATATTTTACTCGCAGTTGCCCATCTACATTTCATATTAGCCAAACTTTAGGGTGAGCGGTATGGAGTATTAACTCAGCTTTCGCTTCGCCAAAACGATTACAAATTGCCAATAAATTAAATTCACATGAGATCAATCTTGTCAAAATATTCTGGAAGCATGCCAGATTCCCCATTTTCCATCCTAAAAAGATAAGATGCCTCCTCCAAGTCTATGAAATCGTCGACAAGAAATGTTGTTCAGTGACGACACCACACTGCAACAGGAGACATAACGCGACACGTGACACCGATCGATTCACAGACGTGTCAGGTGATGCGAGGAATTGATTTACACAGCCAACCGCCAGACATGCTGAACCACGCGTTCCAATGGCTTCTACTATTCTGGCTCTTCTACACATTGTCGTCATTCCCACAATCCAGTTCATTGTCAACGCCCCCCTGCCGCTTCGGTTCGTCCTCGTTACCGGGCTCCTTTTCGTCCTCCACTTCCACCGCCTTCCTCTCCATAGCCGTCTCCTAGTCACTTCCAACCTCCCAATCCGCCATTCCGGAGACATCAGGAGATCCAAATGAGTGGAACAAAAGGAAGTCGTAGTAATTAGGGTAAGTTATGCTACCGACTCCTTATCCTTCTCCGGCTTCTATCCTTCCTGCTTTCCCTCCTCATTCATGTCCATTTAACATTTTAATATTAGCTCAACTTTAGTCCAGTCATTGCGACATATGTGGGGACAACTAGGAGGAGCCTCCTTATGTGCATCGTTTGACAACCATGCACATTTCCTCCAACAAAGCTAATTGTTTTATTTTTCTAACGGTTGTATGGCTAGGAAAGTAGGTAGGTTTGCAGCTGGGTAAATGCATGAATCCACGAATGGGTTAAAGGAGAAGGAAGCAAAGGACGTAGTAGACAACTTTTACCTTTGGTAGAAATACACATACCCTCCATCTAAGTCCATTGCTTCATGCTTCATTCAGTTGTCTTATCTCCCCCTACCTCTCCTCTTCTCTTCTTCAACCCTTTATCCCCTTCTCCTTCAGTTACACAGTTATGTTACTTCGCCTCCACCGGAAGAGTTCAATCACAGCCACTGTTCTCCCTGGTCAGAGGTGACGATTCACCAAGGAAAAGAATTGGGAACACTCACCAGGAATTTACGCCCGCTAGCTGCGTAGCGATGTTTGGGGTGAGTGGCCAATTCCTCCAACTTATTAATGCCCCTTTACTGCACCACTTGTGCAGCACTC